AGAGAGAGAGAGAGAGAGAGAGAGAGAGAGAGAGAGAGAGAGAGAGAGAGAGAGAGAGAACTTTCTACAACTGTCTTAATTTTCTTCACCTCCTTAATTTCAACAGAAAAAGAACTGATAGTTTTTTTTCTGTTCACTTTAAATCATACGCACAGTTGTCTTTGAAACTGTAAAGATAAAAATAAAGCAAAAAACCCAACTATTTGGATTTCATACTCAGATATTTTCAGACATTTATTGAAATTTCAACAGATAAGGTTTTCACATTACCAACAGAGAAATCTAATTGTCAATACTGTTGTTATTATTAATAGCATTTATAATAGTTAAGTATTAAGTGAAAAGACAACAATATTTTGGTTCACACACATGCATGTATATACACACATGTACATTACTATTTTTGTTTGTTTTTTGAAACAGAGTCTTTCTATGTAGCCTTGGCTATTTAGGAACTTACTTGTAGGCCAGGCTAGCCTCAAGCTCACAGAGACTGGCCTACCTCTGCCTCCCAATTGCTGGAATAAAAGATGTGTACCATCATACTCAGCTTTATTATATGATATTATTATTGCCACATTCTTTTGTCCAAAGAATAAGTGTTAAGTTCTAATTGTAAAAAGGTTTTCTATTTTTATGGATGTCAGACAACTTAATTTAAATATTTAGGATTTCTATTCTCATTACTTTGACTTACCTAAAAGTAGCTTTTCTTATGCTGTTCTAAATATGGTATGGAATAATGTAAGCTAATGTAGTATTGGTGAGTTAATATATATTTATTGATTAGTAATGTTTAATGTTCAATGTGAAATTCACTTTGCTGTGCAGTCAAGTTGAATTTTGACAGTAAATGTGTGACATAAATGTTAATATTATCATTGAGGCCCAGGGAAAATAAATGAATTTCTCATGATTTAATAGTTGATGGAACCATAATTTTAATCTGGATTTTTTCAAGTCTAAAGCTTACTCTTTTTCATTGTGCCTACTGTCTCCAATGTAACTATTTATGTATTTCTTTACTAGAAACACTTGGAAATGTCAATTTAAAGTCATTAGGGTATTTGTGCTTCACTCATGCGCTGAACAAAAAGAATTTATATCACAAGGCAACCATTGCGATGTACTTTTATTTTATAAGCTGCTTGATTTTCTCCTGAGTCTATTTCTCTGCGAGATCATCTAGAAGATTCCATTTCGAGTTGTGCTGATGGTGAGAGGCCTTAGGTACTCTCATTTGAGGATTTTCCTATGGCTGAGCTCATTGAAACCTCATCCTTCTGGCGACTCCTGTGGAGATGCTGTTCAGGCTGGGAACGGCATTGCAGGGAAGACTGAGCCTGCTCCTCTGCACCACTTACAGATGCACACTAGCTGTGCTGAAATCCATTCACTCAAGCTGGGAGGAACTTCCCAGACTTGTACTTTGTTCCTTTTTTTAAAATTAGGATCTCTTCATAGTCCTTCCACACTTTTTACAGATCTAAAGAGTAATAGTTTAGAAATCATAAGCTTTGTTTTTGAAATTAAGAGAAAACATCTTTTTTTTTTTTTAACCTGAGCCGGAACATTCAAGTTTTTTTTTTAAATTTTATTTTATTTTTTCATACAGTAGTTGTAACTGGAAGATAAATATACTGGAAAGAAGATTGTCTATAAATAAGTGATGATTGAAATTAGATGATAGGCTTATTACACATTTGCTCTATTTTTGTTTGAAAATTTGCATAATAAAACACAAGGAGACATATGGCACATTTTCTGTCATCATTGGTGAGGGATATCAACCGAGCCTGTTGGTACACACCTGTAGTCCCTGCACTTAGGGAAGTATTGAGGCGGGAAAGCTGAGAGTTCATGGCCTCTGGGGCTATAGAGTAAGTTCTTGTCTTAAGACTCAGAAACAGAAACAAGCAAAGAGACAAATATCTTTTAATCTTTAACTATTTAGTATCTTAATATCACCTCATGTCTCATGTGAGGATTTTTATACACTTTCCTTTCTAACAGAGACCATTTATGATAGCGAACATGTCTGGGTAGATTAACTGATGGCTAGACTCATTTCTTTTGCTTCTTCATTTAGTTTATTGATTGATCTTGAAAAACTGATTGTTTTTGAGTAACAAGTGTTTGTTCCTCCACTAAGTGTCATCAAACATTAACCTACAGGCTGAGGATATAGCAGTCAATCAAACAGAAAACATTCCCAGAGGTACATCTTAGCATGAAGGAAACAACTGTAATTAATAAACAAGTATATTACACATCTTTGAGGTTAAGAGCTATGAACATAAATTGCATAAAGGGAATTAAAGATGTAATGTAGGCTGTCTTCTACAAAGGGCCATTAAGGGATATGTTTTTTTTCCTAGGGGGACATTAGAGGACTGGAGGGAGGGTAGGAGGCTGTGAAACAGGGTACTCTCCTGATGTCTGATGAAGCAAATCCCCAGGAGACCCTTTCTACATGCTTACAAAGGTAGGGTGTGTACATAGAGATGTCAGCAAAGCTCTTCATTTGTCCATTCTCTCGATAATAAATGGGATTTGGAGATGGAATCCTACAGCTTCTGATATAACCTTTAGGATTAAACAGTAAGAACCAAGACAGGAAAAAGTAGGAGAAATGATTACTCATGTTCTCTTGATTTTTGTCTTCTCTCTGAACAAAAAAGTCAGAAAGAAAAAAAAATGTACTTAAAATAACACTGTTAAGTTATGAGATTGTTTTATTTATGACTATTGTCTTTTGAGACAGGGGCTAGCAATGTAGTTCAGACTAACCTCAATCTCTGGCTCTTCCTCAGCCTCCTGAGTGTTAGGATTACAGATGTGCACTGCACCAACATTCCTAAAATATGTCCAGGTTTAAGTTTTCTCACTTAGGATTTATTTGCTTAGTTGAAGACCTGTGTAAACATAATCAAGGGAAATGCACATTGCTTCACTTGTGGACTGTCCTACAGAAGAAGAGCAGGTAGTGTCTAGTGAGGCCTTGGAACTGAGAAAGAAGCAGTGGAGGTGGAGGCCCATGGAGTGAAGGGCAAGACAGGCAGGTGCAGTTTGTACCCATGTAAAAGGCGCTGTTACTCAATTTGGTTTGTTGCCATGGGGAATATGGGCTAACATTGGGTGTCTTTTCTGATTTTTAGAAAAAGCCAAAAATTGTGTCTTTTTTTTTTCTTGATTTCTCCATGTAGCCCTGGAACTCGATCTGTAAACCAGGCTGGCCTCGAACTCAGAGATCCAACTTCCTTTGCTTCCTGAGTACTGAGATTAAAGGCATACACCACTACCACCCAGCTAGAGATTGTGTCTTGTGGGCTATCTTTTTTATTTTATTTTTTAAAATTGTTGCCAACTAAATAAAATTATTCCACAATGTTCTAAAGGCCAAACAAAACACTCCTGAAGGTAGAATGGGGCCAGTAATTCAACAGGTTTTTCTTGACCATAGTATAACACACTAGTTAATTCTTACTGTCTCCATCAAGGGGTCATACAGATCTAATTGGAACAATGCTGCACACTTTCTGGAGGGGAATGGTTTTAGCACACTCTCACACCCCATGTAGCACTGAATGTCTGTTCTTGTTGCAGGGTATGGCCAGACAGGGCCCTTGTCTCAGAGAGCAGGTTACGATGCTATCGCCTCTGCTATGTCTGGTCTGATGCACATTACAGGGCCCGAGGTAGGTATTCTTAGAATATTCTTATTTATTTCTCTTATATATGCCAGAAATAAATTATTCTTTGTAAAGTTAAACTTGAATGAATTTTGGAAAGAAACAGCAGAAAGTGAATGACTTATTAAAATACAGCTTAAGTGTGGTTATTATAAAGGAACTGAAGCTTAAATATCAACTTGATTTCATGGAAAATAGCAAGCTTTTTTATTAATGTCAGGTGGTGACCCACTTTTTCATATCTTTTTATATTATTCAAGCATAATCACCTATGTGTGACTTTGGGAATTTTCTTCCATGAAAGAGAATGGCTGACTATAGATAACTGTTTCTTCCAGAGTGCCTGCACTTAGTAAATATACCTAGGAGATACCCTTTTTCCCCCTGTAGAATATTTTAAGTAGTCATGTATTTGAAAATTTGTTACTCAAAGTGACAGAAATAGTTGTGTATGACTTGCCATATTATTACAGTCTGAATTATTTGATACTATAGTCCCTCCCAGTTGATAGTGTGTTGCGGGGTTTCTAAAAGAACATAGGTGTCCAAATGTGTTTAATTAGGTCAGAGCAAAGACTTTCGGAGGAAAATGACATGAGCGCAAAACAAAAGCATAGCATGAAAGCCTAGTAGATAACAACTAAAAGGTATCCATTTCCAAACAAACAGGCTTGGTAAGCTTAAAACTCCTTTTACAGAGCATATTTCTCCCCTGAGTTATTTTCTTTAGTTAACGCTAGGCAGATCGCTGCACTGCTAGGGTAAACTGAGGCAGAGTGACCTCTTTTAAAATGTTATATTTAATTCAAAGGAGCTATGAGGTTTTAATGCCTTAGGATACAAAGCCCTTTGTACTTCCGTCTTCTCATGTTTCATTTTTAGTCAGAGAAAAAAATGTATGTAGCCCTTTCTTAAAATAAGGCGGGGATCGATTTTCTTTTTGTTCATTGAGAGAACAGAGCATGGACATATCTCTCTTTGTTTGATCCCTAGGCTCTCATTTGGTAAATATATCATTATTGTTAGTGCTTTTATTTAAAGGTACTGAACTCAGTTGGGATTATGTGAAAACATTTGGGACCTATCAATTCTTACCCAAGTGTTAAAATGAATGAAAAACTACTAAGGTGAAGGGCTTCTGTGGTTCCATTGGTGAACTGTACTACATTCTGATAGGGTAGCCACGTAGTGTATGCTCAGCCTTACGATTTTTAAACTTTATTTTCTAGTTATCTTAAAAAGCAACACATTTCATTTTCATTTTCAGACATACTTTATTTTAGTTTATTTTCCTTACCTGCTCTTCTCCCTCATACCCACTTTACCATAGTTACCATATATATACATATACATATACATATATATATAAACATGTGTATTTAATGTAATTTTAGGTAAATAAAAATATGATTCCTTATGGCTTTTTCAAACATTCTTATTCCTACTTTCAGTCCCTTCTCCCTCTCCTTTTGTATTGGCCATCTTTCCATTTCCCTAACTAATACCCCATGTGCGCCACGTCCCCTTCCGTATCTGTATCATTCTGCTGTTCCCTCCTCTAATGCCTTCTTCACCATGGTACCTTTTGCCTTTCCTGGTTTCTGTGGTTACTTCAGGTTGTATACTCACATCTGACGATTTTGGAGCTAGGAATCATATATAAGAGAAAACATGTGGCATTTGTCTTTCTTATGTGTGTTCCTCTGTTAATGTAATATTTTTCCTAGTTCCATCCATTTACTTACAAATTTCATGATTTAATTTTTCCTTACAGCTGAATATAGTTCACAGTGTGTGTGTACCACCTTTCATTACACATTCATCAGTTGAAGGACATTTGGACTGTTGCCTCTAGCTATTGTGATTAGAGCAGTGATGAACATGGCTGAAGAAGTATTACTTCTGTTGAGTCTTTTGAGCATATGCCAAGGAGTAGTATAGTATGGTAGATTTGTTTTTAGCTTTTTGAGGATTCTTTGTATTAATTTCCAAAGTAGCTGTGCCAGTTTGCAATTCTACCAACAGTGAGTGAGTTTTCCCCTTCCTCCACACCTTAGCATTTCCTGCTGGTTTTCTTGATCTTTGCATTCTGACTGTGGTAAGATGAAATCTCAAATTTGTTTTGATTTGCATTTCTTTACTTGCTAAGGATGCTGAACACCTTTTGAGATACTTCTTAGCCACTTATAGTCTTCTTTGGAGAACTTTGCATTCAGATTTGAATGGTTCTTTTTTTCTTTTTTGAGTTCTTTATAATAGTCTGAATATTAATCTTCTGTCCGATGATAGTTGGCTAAGACTCTTTCCTACTCTGTGGGCTTCCTCTTCACTTAATTGTTTCCTCAATTCTGAAGAAAGTTTTTTGTTTTATTAGACCCTACATGTCAACTGTTGTCCATAATTTTTTCGCAAATGAAGTACTGCTCAGAAAGTTCAAAAGAACATTTTAGGAATTAAAATATAATTGTACCTTTTTTCCCTATTCACTTGGCTCTCTTGAACTTCTCCCACGTACCTGCCCTATAACGCCTCCCATCCCCTTACTACTTCTCAAATTCATGTCCTTTTTTCTTTATTTTTATAAATATACATTTGTTTTATATATAATATATGTATTTCATAAAATACATAAACATAACCTTTAGAATCTGTTAAGTGTTGCTTATATGGATTTGATTTAAGGGCTTACCATTTGGTATTGGATAGCTAATTAGGAGGTTCATCACTGAGGAAGACTAACTCTTCCTCCTTCAGCCATCATGAGTTGACTGTAGTTTTTTTTGTGTAGGGATGTGGATTTGTGAAATTTCCCCCTTTTCTGTTAGCATGCTTATTGGTGCTGCCATTTTTCTGGTCTGGTTTAGGTAGCCATATTTTTGCAGTATCATGGGTGTATCTTGTTGCACAAAATCTGGTAGGTCTTATAATAAAAAAACTGGAGCCAGATGTTAGGGTAAATGTTGAAAGATCAGAGAGACAAAGGAATAAACCATTGCCACTTCTCACCTTGCCAACTCCACGTATCCTCTGACTGAATGTCTCTGAGTCATCGGCCGAAAAGATTCCAACTGAAAAGCCTCCTCTGCTGAAAAGCTTTAATTCCTGTCTCCTCATGCCTTATATACTTTTCTCTGCCCAACCTTATTACTTCCGTCCTAGTGCTGGGATTAAAAGCGTGTGTGCTTCCCAATACTGATACCAGAGGCATGAGATCTCAAGTGCTGGGATTAAAGGCATGTGATTCCCAAGTACTGGGATTAAGGTGTGTGCCAGCACTGTCTGGCTCTATTCTCTCTTAGACTGAATCAATCTCATGTAGTCCAGGGTGGCTTTGAACTCACAGAGATGCAGATGGATCTCTGCCTCCTAAGTGCTAGGATTAAAGGTTTGTGCCACTGCTGCCTAGCCTCTATGTTTAATCTAGTGGCTTATTTTGTCCTCTGATCTTCAGGCACATTTTATTTGGGTACACTATATTTCACCACAGTATCTATTCTGTCATTTCTACGAGTTATAATCTCATAGCAGATTTCCTGGTCTCAGACTCTTACAAAACTATCATCCTCTCTTGTGCAATGTTCTATGAGCATCAGGTACAGGGATTATGTTACAGATGTATTCATTAGGGCTGGGTACCCCATGATTTGTTGTTCTCTACATTTTAATCAGTTGTGCTTTTCTGCAATGATCTCACCTGCTGCAGAGAGAAGCTTCTTTGATGGAGGATTTAATAAATTTATTTGTGGGTATAAGAATATGTATTTATAAATCAGTTAAGAAGTATACTGGTCTAGTAAAGTGATGATTGTTATGTTCTCCTTTAAGATCCATGACCTCACTAAGTATGGGCATTTGTCTGGGTTCCAGTACCAAGCATGATTTCTTTTACTTTGAGTGAGTCTTAAGTATAATTAGAGACCTGTTGGTTACTGTTTAGATATAAATACCAATTTTGAACCATTAGAAGTATCTTACTATGCTGGTTATATTGGTTCATAGGCATCCTGGCTGGGTAGGACTTTTGGTTGGTTCCTTCCCTTGGCAGCTTGCATATCACCTTCTAGTACTATGGAATATAGTCCCTAGGGAGAAGGTAGTCAGACTCAGCTTGAATCTTCTGAGTCTTGTATTTGAAGTACATGGTATCTTTAGCAACAAGGACTTACTTTCAACCTGTGGGAGGCAATAGTCATTACCTATGTGGGCTTTTTAAAAAATTTATATGTCTTGTCAGAGTATTTTTGACTCTGATATGGGAAAACTCAATTTTAACTCTTTTTATACATGTATATAAATTTTCTACAATAGTAGGTTTCTGTGTCTTTTCCAAAAGTCTTTAGTGATTTATTCTTTCCCATACTCCCTCTTCTACTCTGCCCTCCTCTCCACCACCTCAATTTAATTCTTACTTTTTCAATATTCCTCTTTAGCCCTTTATACGAGTGTGTTCTATCTCCCCTCATTTAAAAGCCCCTCCCCATGTCCCTATTTCCTCACCATTGTGGGTATTCCAAATTAAACACATGTATCTGAAGATTTAATGCTAACATCCATTGATAAGAAAAAAACAAGTAATATTTTTTCTTTCTGGATCTGGGTTACTTTACTACAATGATTATTTCCAGCTCCATCTATTTACCTATGAATTTAATAATTTTATTTTTCTTATGTCTGAATAATATTCCATTGTATATATAAATATACATATCACATTTTTCATTATCCATTTATCTGTTGATGGACATCTATGCTATTCGTATTTCATGACAGTTGTGAATAGAGCATCAGTGAACATGAATGGGCAGGTATCTTTAGGGTAGGATAGGGAGTCCTTTTGGCATATAATAAAGAGTGGAACAGCTGGATGGTAGATTCATGTTTAGCTCTTTTTAGGAACCTGCACACTGATTTCATAATGGATGCATAAGTTGGCATTGATGCCAACACTGAATAAGTTTTTCCTCCACCCATCCACAGTTACATTTGTCATCATTTTATTTTATTTT